CCAGGAAAAGAATTGGGTGGAGGTGATTATAGGAAACAGAAGTCTCCATGGAACAATAAAAAAAAATGAAGCTTCATGGGTAGAATAATTTGGGGAGGAAAAACACTTTTCCTCTATCTTCCTAAGTTCATCTCTGCAAATTAAACTGATAAAAGACAAATTGACAAGAGAAGAAACAGATTTAATTACATATATACACACAGGGGTTCACAAATATGACTCAAGGAGGCAGTTAGAATTTTGAACTTACATGCAATCTTAACATAGGGGGTTAAGTGTGAAGAAGAGGCTAGACAAAGGAAAAGGTTTGAGGATTCTTTGGGGGTGATGGAGTTAAGTTATGGGAAGGTGACTAGCAAATATATGGTAAATAAAGGTTAGTAAGGTTTGTTATGTGCATGAGAGTTCTCCTTGGAGTAGTTCCCTTCTTACTGGAGAAGGGAGACACCTCCTTTACAAATGGAAATTTATGGCCTGCTTTTTTTGCTGTTGTTTTTGGTTTTGGGGAGGGTTTTGTTTTGTTTTGTTTTGTTTTGTTTTTGAGACAGGCTCTCACTGTCATCCAGGCTGGAGTACAGTGGCATGATCATAGATCACTGCAGCCTCAAACTCCTGTGATCCCCCTGCCTCAGCCTCCTAAGTAGCTTGGGACTACCAGTGCAGGCCACCATGCCTGGCTAATTTTTCTTATTTTTTTGTACAGACAGAATCTTGCTACATTGCCTAGATTGATCTCAAACTCCTAGCTTCAACCAATCCTCCTGACTTGGCCTCCCAAAGTACTGGGATTACAGGCATGAGCCACAGCACTTGCCCTATGGCCTGCTTTTACACACACAAAAAAAGGGGGTGAAGGAAAAACAGCTTTTCCTGCATCTGCTGTTTCTCAACTGCTATCAGCGCTAAGTAATCCGTATGCCAAAATAGCATATTTTGGAGTGGCATATTGTGGTCCCTTCAGTAGGAACCCAGGAAACATCAGGACCAAGGCAGCTGCTCTCTCTGGCTCACTTCTCTCAATTTCAAATTCCCAGGAAAAGAATCTGATTGGCATCATTACAGGTCAGGGGTCAATGGTTTGCCAATGGATTGGCTACATGTGAGTCAAGTACCCACAGGGGCTGATGCCATACCAGATGCAGAGTCATGAGTCATGCACGGCTGCTTTTTTCAAGGGCTGTGGATTCAGGTACTAGGAACATGTCTATTACACATACCAGATGTTTGATGCTGTTCTGATTTTATGAAGTTGTTAAATTGTCATGATTCCACTGTATTCCAAGACACAGAGCAACCTAGATGTTTCATATGGAAAAAAAAAATTAAGTAACCCTCATTTAACTTGCTTGGCAAAGCTGAGTTTCAACTGCTTTCCCTCAGACATTTTATAGCTTCAGATCTGAACATGATAACTTCATGCCAAAGCACACACAGCCAGACCTTGTCACACAGGTCCCCTCCCTCTAACCTGGTAGAGAGAAAATCTGAGGCCTTTCTCTCTTTGGATGCTAAATGGCAAAACCTCTACTCTGTTCAACATATACCTCACTTTTCCACAGCAAACATCTAATCCCATCTTTTTCTAATTAACTCCCAACATTCTGATTCCAATTTTTCATTGTTGGAAGTCAAGTTCTCTCAAGGACTAAAGAAAAGGACTAACGAATATTGGCTTTTATTAGCGTGGGAGGCACTTCAGAAATCTAAGGCACCAGAAGGGACACAGTCATGACCATGACATGGATCCTATCCTCTTAAGGAGAAGGCTCACATGCAAATAACTACACCATACGACGTAGAGTGTTAAGTGTAATAACCTAATAAGGCAGAAGTCTCCCTCTCCAGAGTGGGGTAGGGACAGGAAACTTTCAGAAAAGTCTTTATAGGTAACTGTTGGGCTAGGCCTCTAAGGCAGGGGAAGATTTTCTCATACAGAGAATGGGGCTAGGGGTGGGGCACTGCCAATCCTGAAACCACCAGAGAACTATTACTAAAACCTAGCAACCCTCCTCAGTCCTGGTTTATTCCTGTGCTTTCCCTCATTTGCCACCTACCTTTGTTTCAAGATTCCTCTTTAAAAACAAAACCCAAAGACTATCAGTATTGGTGTGCTTTTTGGAGTTCTTATCTTCACTGCTCCCACTTACTCTGTAGACATCCAAGTGTTAGAAGAGAGATGGTGTTTGTTCCTGCTTCCTCTACTCCTTGCTGTCTCTGCTATGTCTTTTAAAGGAATTTACTACTAATCGTTATGGGCTAATATAAACATAACAAACATTGGAAAGTTACAAAGTTTTCACAATCTTAAAAGGTTCAGGCTGATTTCTTTCTGAGCTGGCAATAGAAAAGTTCTTTGACTTTCTGCTGTTTACTTTTGTTCTTGAGGGTGGAGTCAGCAAACCTCTTTAGTCTTTCTAACCTTGCCCTAGGCCCTACAGGCGGCCTGAGCTGAGGCCCCTTTTCCCAGCCTTACTTCCTAGCACTTTACCCAAGGTGGTTTAAACTTTCCTCTTCTCAAGTACACTATTTGCATTCCTGTGGATCTTCAGGATGGGTGACAATGGTTTCCCTCCTTCACTGGAAATCTACACTACAACTTGTAAGCAAAGAGTACTTTTGTAAGAGAGAAATTAATTGGCAAAATAGCTAGGACATTGAAAAGAAGGAGCCACAATCTTCAGAATCATCTCAGTTGTATAAAGGGCCAAAACATTAGAAGTGAAAAAGTAGAAGCCTCAAGAAATTCCCTTTAGACGGATTCTTGGTTAAAGAAAAGGCCAGTAGATGGAGATGGAGGTAGGGGAGAGGGAAGGTGGTTTTACAAAAGGTCAGATACGTGGAAAGCTTAGGAAAATCTTCGGAGAAGATGGTGTAACACATAATCTAAGAGAAAATTATGATCAATAGAGCAAAATCCCAGTGGAGAGAAGATGGCCTGTGTTTAGGAGCACAAGTGGAGTATGAGTTAGAAGAGGACTGTGGACATCTCTTCTCAGTCAGGACTGAAAAAGGTGAAGATATGTGAAAATTGAGACTGCGGTTTAGGTAAATTGAGGAACCTCATGGTGGATTGCTCAGTCAAGTATAAGGCAAGATCATTTGCAGGATTGAAGGAAGATCAAGTGAAGTGGGGGCTTGAGGAGGGCAGAAATAGGACAGGTTTGGGAGAAGTGGCCTGGATAATGTTCTTGGATAAATATAATATTTGGGATAATCACCCTCCTGATGAGGAAAGGAATTTAGAGAATCAGACCTAAGACTGGATAGCATGAACTTTTAGTGGAATGATGTCATTTCTTAACCTTATCCAGCAATGCTTAGTAGTGCAGGAGCAAGTTCAAAAGAAATCTCTCAACTAAATATAACAAGGAAGAAAAAATTAATGTTGAGTGACAACTTATTTCAGGGGACATTATTTATGATGGATTATAGTAACATTTTAATTATAACAAACATGAAATATACAATATAAAAATGCTCAAACATGTGATATGAGAAAAAAAAATTTTTAAATGATTATTGGAGTAAAAAGAAAAAGCTTTTTTTCCTTTCTTTCCATGCTAGCCTAAGGCAAGAAAAAAGGAAATATCCATTTTATTCCTTTCTATTAGACACATCTTCCATTCATTCAATGTTATTCAAATTAAAAACCAAATCATTGGTATCTTGTCAGTATATTCAAAAGGAATCTTATTTATAAAAATTTGCATTTTACTTTTTTTATTCTCCTATAAAGAAAAACACACACACACAAAGCCAGAAGAGGTCAAAAGCAGCTTGTTTCCATAATGGCAAGGCATGAGACAGCACTTTCTGACTCTGACAATCCCTTCCCAATTCTGAAAATATTTAAAAGGAACATTCATATATTCACCTGTTTTGTGCCACAGTCCAACCCTGCACAGATTGTCAACCAAGTTCAAATTTTACTTCAAATTGTGGGAAGATGTTTTTCCAATCATGGTACCATATTAATATTTCTTATGTTACCTTTTTGTGATCCTCAATTTCAGTAAGATAACAACCAATAGCAAAGTATATTACCCAACTTAAAATTCAGAACAGTAGTTAGACATATGTAGCTTGCACACACATTAATTTGTTTCTCTCAACCAAATATTTGTAATTTCCAAAACCCTATCAGGTTTTTCACACAATATCATCACTCTAATTTGAGGGTCAGTAACATAAACACAGTCTTCTTACTAAAGAGATTGGTATAAAAACAGCAAAATCACCAAAAGAAGGAACATAAGAATATCAGTGGTATAGGCTAGAGCAATACCATGTTTAAAGGCCTAATATGTTCATGAAATTCCACGTTAGTAGCTGGTATCTAAATATGAAATTTATTGACAAAATAATTGGTATTGACAAACTAGCACAAAGTGACTTTAAATGATAGTAGAAAACTCATTAAAGCTCAAGATTTTTGTATGTAATGATTCTATCCCTGAGTTCATTTCTTATCAAATTTAAATATAATCTGGAAAATAGAAAATAAAATCCATTAACTGTAATCTATTTCCTTTATTATCTTGTGAAATCATCAGGAGGCATGAAGGATTGACTTTGTTATCTATACCCTTCTCCAGCCTGTAAACTCTTAGGGGAAAGAATACGCACCTGTCAAGCTCATAGTGCAGAATGCGCACATAGGGATGTTTAATAAAAGTCTGTCAATGGGGAGATTAGAGGTTTGTTTTGGGAAGCAGGGAACACACTACCTTACAGATACCTTGAGTGTTGACCCTTTGGCATCTATCGTACTATCTATCAGCTTGTTTCCTTACCAAAGTATCATCCAGAGGAAATCCTCTTTTGAGTCTCCTTTCGGAAGGAGTGTTACTGTAAGTTTGAGGACCCAAAAATTTGAGGTAAGATCCCCCTCAGCGAAAGGGGAGTGGTTGGGAAGAACAAGCATAAGTATGAAATAGAATTCAGGAGGCTCAGTGACGTCAGGAGGAAGCAGCTATTTAAGGGACGGGGTGCAAACTCACCTGGAGAAGCAGAAGCTGCACACAAGTCAAAGGTCAAAGGGCATTGCCTCAGGGGCTGCCCAGACGCAGGAAAAGTGAAACGCCCACTCCTGGGCTCTCACCGTCTAGGGGCTCGGCTGTTCTTGCCTTTGACGCCGGGGACAAACCCTACCATGCACAGTTGGGGTTGACAGGAAGGCAAAGCAAAACCTGCCTCAGATTTCAGAGCCAGCGCTCGGGACACCCCCTGCACTTCTTTCCCCCACCGCCTCCCGCGCCAGAGACCAGAGACCCCTTCATCTTCACTCCCCACCTTCTCCAGGCCCTCTCGCTCTTAACAGCATCGGTCTCCATGGCGACCTGAAACCGCAGTTCCCATTGGCCCGTTCAATATGAGGGCCGGGCCAATGGGGAGGGCCAGCCTTCTCCTTCCGACCAATGGGGCTGGCGGGGAGCAGGTCCGGAGACGGCGGCGTGCTGACGTTCCCGGGAGCCCGGGGCTGGCCGGGCAGGCGGGCTGGCGGCTGGGCGGGCGGTGGCGGCGGCCTCTGGGCAGTAGAGGGGGCTCCGGGGCTGAGTCCGCGTCGACGCCGGCCGCGGAGGCGGCACCATGGGCAAGGGGTAGAGGGGCAAGTTGGCCACCGCCGCCGCCGGGGGTGGTGGGAGAGCAGCTCCGGGGGAGGGGGCGGGTGGGGGAGGGAGGGGCGGGCAGCCGCTCGGCCGCGGCACTTTTTTAATTTTTTCGGGTGCCGCAGCGGCGACCCTTCGGCGCTTATGTCCCTGATCCCTGGAGCGACGACGGCCGCTGCCTAAGCTGGAAAGTAAGTGTGTGGGCTCGCGGGAGGGCGCGGAGACTCCTGCCTACGAGACCCTCGGCCCTCGCCCCCACGCGCCGGAGCCGGGACCTGCCCGCTGGGGGCACGGACGCTTCCCTCCTGTTACTCCGTCCCCACCGCCTCGCGGCCGCCTCGGCTTTCCTGCCCCGCCTCGTGTTCCTGCCCGCACTAGCCTGCCTGCTCCCCTCCCCCCGGCAGGCGCACAAGTTTCACCCTCCATTTGCTTTTCCCGGCGATTACTCTCCCCAGGTCTCCCGTAGACGCCCCGCACGACCCCTCCCCACGTTGGGCTTTTCGGATCCAGAGCCCCCAGCCCTGAAACTGAGCGGCGTGCCGAGCTCCACTGGACGTCTGCTGGGCTGCTTCCCGGCTCTCGCCCGCCAGGCACACCGCCCCGCGCCCCCAACCCCCGGGGCGCCCTCCTTCCCTAGCCCTCGGGGCCGTCTGTCCGTCCTCCCAGCGCCAGATCCTGCATCCTGGTCCTCTTCCCTTCCTCCTGCGCCCCTGCAGCCCGCGCCGTCTCGCATTTGCCGCCTCGGTCCTGCACTCCTGCCTGTCCTGCCCACCCCCCTCCGTCCAGTGCACCCCTCTTTCCTGGCCGCGTATTCTCACGCTCCACCCCTCCCAGTCCCCCAGCCCCGAGCCTCCCGGCTGCCCTCCTGCGCGGCCGCTTCCTCCTCTCCCTCCTAGGAGTTGAAGCGGAGCTGCAGCACCCCCCTGGCGGATCGAGTGACCCTGCCCGCCGCCGAGGCTGCCCGGCCCTCTCCCCTGTACCCCTACCGAGGAAGCGAGGGGGTGAGCGGCGGGGCCGGGATTTGGCTGCGTGTTGGCTGAGTGCGACAAACCGCGAGCGCGGGTAGTAGAGGCGCCGTGGCGGCCGTGGCCAGCTCGGGGCGCAGCAGTAGTCAGGTGTGTGTGTCCAGGGGGGGACGCGCGCTGCCAGCTCCTGGGCTGGCGACAGATTGTGCAGGAATGCGAGGAATGCACCAGGGGCAGAGTCCACACAGCCCGCCGCGGCTGCACTAGCGCCTTCCCGGCCCAGCCTCTCGCGGTGCAGCCAGAGGTCACCGAAGCATCTTCGGAGCTGGTGAGCCTCGTTCCACTCCTCTCCTCCCATCGCTTCTTTCCATGCGGCAGAGAGGGCGGTGGAGGGGAAGCGCGGTAGTTCCTCTCTAGCTAGCCTTTCGTCTGGGTTTTTTGCTGCATTGGTCGTCAGGATCGTGAATTTGGGGCCGATGACAGTGTAGCCAAGGTTACTGATCATTGCACAAGGCTCTTTGCAAGTTTGGTTTGCAAGGTTTGGATAGTGCCTGGTTTGTACTAGGGTTTTCTGAAAACCTGCAGAAACCGGGGCCCCGAAGGTTCTTAGAGTAATGAGCTTGCAGCCAACATATTTTAGTTCTATCAAAAAAAAAAAAATAATGCCTGTTAGTGCTCATGGACGGGAATGTACTGCGAGAGAGATCTTGAATGCATCACTTTGCTGTCATATGAAGTGTAATTTTTTTCCTCGTCATACTGGGCTGTTTAGACCTCGTATAATACATAATGAATAGAAACAGAGAAGCACTGTTTGGTCAGCGATGGGACAGATAGAACTGTCTGGTACAGTTAAATTCGGGGCGTGTCAGTTACCATTGGAAGTAACAGGGACACCACAATCATGTATATTTGAAGATGTAATGTACTAGTGGAGGTCGCAGTTCTTTCTCTTTGTTACTGAGTTTGACTGAAGAAAACATAAATGCAGTCCTACAACTTTTAAAGAATGGTATGCATCACATCACTAATGGTTAGTATGCGTTTTTGGTCAAATTTTATTTTCCTTAATACTGAAAGCAAAATTTTGACAGAAGATGCTTCTCCAGAATTGGGTTTAGATTCCTTTTATTAAAAAAGGGAAAGTAGAAGAATGCTTCTCTTTTTCAATGCAATATATTGCTGTAGAAGTATCTTCATTTCTGGTGCCTGTGAAACAGTTATGGAAAATGGCAACATAAAAACAACCAATGTTTGAAATAAGTGTTTCTGGATGTTGAAGAACGTAATATGTGTGCTTTTATTTGACACAGTTTGCTTCTGAGGTTGCATTTACAATTAGCCTCTCTGTACCTGGTTATTTTGTATCAGGTTCAGTAAAATAACAAGTCAGCTGTCCAGCCAATCAGCTGTCTTCCAACACCTACTTTGTGTGGATCAAGGGCACTGAAAAGTATAAGATGAGAGCCGTTAGAACCCCAAGGAATGGGGGAAAAATTAGGAAAAAATACTCTGAACTCATAAAGGTTGTATCTTTTGGTTGCCACGTTGTTTTTCAAGTATGTCCGTAATCAATGAATCTTATAACTTAGAGGTTTAATTTATATCCAGTAACACAGTGGAGGATATTGGGGGAGGTGCTTGTAAGTGCCAATGGGAAACTTTTATTATGTAACAGTATCATATTACAGCACAGTTTTCTGTGCTTATTTGATTTGCTGTCAGGATTAGAAGATAAAAGCGAATTTTGTTTCTCTGCTGCATTAGAAATTGGAAATCTTGTTCAAATATATAGATATTATACACATGATTAGCTGTGCAAATAGTTTTGCCTGTAACAAGTAAAGGTAGACTTTCAATTAGAAATACATTATTTGTTATAGATATTTGAAGAGAGGAAATTTTTTAACTGGTGATTCTTCACAATTGAAAATAACATAAACTCTGTTTTGACCAAATACATTCCTTCCCCACCCCCTATTATTATGTAAGGAGAGGATGCTGCATTTGGTGTCTTATCTATTACACTGAAGAGTCTAAGTTGGGAAAACTAAGTATACAGTTATCTTAATTTTTACCTATACTGTGTTTGGAGGGAAATAGGGGAGCAGAAGTAGTGGTAGAAAGTATAAGAGAAGGGAAGAAGAAAGTAAAGGCAGCTGGTATTTAACCAGAAAAAAAAAAAATCATATACGTTATTGCTGCATTTGCAAGCTGAATAAACCAAATCTAATTCTGTGAATAGTTCTGACATAACATGAATTTAAGGAAACCACTACTAAATTCAGTTTAATAAAAACTTTAGCAATTGTATGACCTTGAGTATTTGGATTAGGTCTATATTAAATCAGAATTGCAGTTTTCTTTCTTTTCTGGTCTGTACAAATAGGCAAAGTAAATTTAACATAAAAATTTGAAATTCACTTAAATTAATTTTTAAAAATCCAATTGTTGCCAACTTTTGAACTGAATAATTTCCATGCTGTTAACCAACGATTGATTTAAATAAAGAATTTTAATACCCTGGGTGATGCCAACCATCTGGTAAGTCTAGTCCCTTACCTGATTCCTTTGAAATATTAAGATATTTTGAGAATGTTCTGTAATCTGTTGTTCCCCTCCCCCGGTCCCCCCCGCAACAGTTTCAATCAGGAAGTAACTCCCTAGCTTAATTCTGAAATGGCCATCATATCTTCATTCTTAATTGGAAGATAAAGTCGAGATTATTATAGGATTATTCTGGGACATAAAAATCCATGGAATTGTATGTCACTTTGGGAAGTTGCCTTCATACCTTCGGTGTACTAGGAAAAAATTACTCCTCAGTGTGTTATATGGTTCTGTAGTGACCTTCCTGTGCTGAAGGGGGAAGAAGAATCTGAAACACAACACCAGTGGGCTAGGTATATTTGGAGAATTGAATAAATATTTCACAGCCAGACTGTAACTACAAATAGCTGCAAACAGAGAGAGAAGGGAAGGAAAACTTTTAAGATACATGGATGTAAGGCTGCACATACTACTAGGAAGTGATGGCAGCAGTCAGCAGGTCAGTTTGATGCCCAGTGGTAAGAAATAACAGGGTTCTTTCAGGGTAAGAGAACCAGGCCCTAAGTTGCCAAGAGCAATAATTCATGTACTTGGCTGGTTTCAGTCAAGAAGTTGTACAACATTCAGGTGTTTCTCACATTGTCATTTTAATAATTCAGTGAAATTATCTTCATTTTGGCAGTGCTGTGTTTCCATTTCTAAATTGGAGATGCTACATGATGGTGCTCTTCACTTAAACATAGAAATGTTACAGACATTCCATTTGTCATTGGCCTAAGTTGTTTTTTCTTTTCATATTTTAGATTTATTTGATATACCAATAAATGTTGGCTACATCGCTGATCATTTTATTATTCGTAGTCTTGATAACATTATAGTTTATTATGAGTCATATGTAATGATTCATGGCAGCTGATAAAATGTCATTAGACATTAGATTGTGAAATTTTATTGCTATAAAATGTATAAATTAAAATATGGAAGTGTCCGAATTATTTTAAGTCATGTCATTGTGAAGCATTTTTTATGAACCAAATAATGTCTGATGATTGGGTGGGTGCCAATCCCTGTGGGCCAATATTGAATAATATAGGCCTCACAAAGTCCAGAACTCACAATGAAGAGTGGAGAAGAGGGGGCCAGGGGAACCAATAACCCTCTTTCTTTAACATCTGAGGTGTGTTTGACTTCTACAGATATTCTCTGTAT